AAACACACTTCCAAGGCACAGTTATTATATCCATTTTACAAATAAGGAAACGGAAGCTAAGAGAGTTTATAGAACTGGTCCAAAGGAGCAAGGGATAAAATCCAGGTCTTCTCTGGCTTCCAACTCTAGCTTCCTATTACATCATGCAATTTCCCAAAATAATCTGCCCTAATTCAAAAGATTCCTCATTTTATATGAGGCAAAAGATGATCACAAAATGCCAGCAGCTGAGAGCAAACAACAGAAGTGACAATAGTCAGTGCTGAATGACCAGTCTGACTCAGAATCAGTCCAATTAATTTTAGTCCATTTGGAAGATACAATCATATTCAGAAGGATGGAAATAGGTGAGTTTGAAGTTGAATGAACTTCTCTTCTGAGCATGATCCTGGTTCTATGGTAAAAATTTTGCTCCCCTAGTAATATTTGGGAGGTACCGGGAGGATCTAATTTGATTCTCTTATGAATGTGTCTTTCGAAAACTAGCTGGCTGTCTCATTGGCTAGTGTGCTGGAGCCACTGATGAACTGATGGCTGAAACTGGTCATAGTGGGGACATCTGCAACGTGGGAGTCGCTAAACTGCAAACCAACCCCATTCTTCTTCCTGGAGAGCTGGTTGTGGAACATCTATCCTTGTATCTCTCTCATTCTTAACCATAGATATCTGGTAATATGACAGCATAAATGACACTGAGTATTTCCAGACCAGGCTAGTTTTCCTAGGCATAAGACTCTATGCCACGACATCAGGATAATTGAAAACTGGCACAAGAAGCTATCGTGTACAAAATATCCTGGACTATTAACCTACTGTGAGCATAAGGGTTTTCAGAAACTTGGAAGAGAAATCCTGTAATTTCCTTCCCATATCTTCAGAAGAAGCTAGGAATAATTATTCTCTTGAGAATATTGAACAGCTCAAGAAGAAAAGATTTAGGAAAGGAAGGCACATTCATCAAGAGAACTCATTAAAATGTTCCCCCAAAGATCTTTAATATTTCATGTAAAAGATAAGAATAGATCATTTGTTTTGTATAAATAAAAAGTTAGATTCCCCCAGTTGGGTGGCTCAGTTGGTTGGAGCATAGTTGCCTACACCAAAAAGGTTGTGGTCTGATCCCCAGGCAGGGAGTGTGTGGCCTCTCTCAAATCAATCAGCATCCTTGGGTGGGGGTCAGACAAAAAGTAAGACTCGGGCTAATATGCCCAAGGAGCAGTGAACTCTAACATATGCAGCAACATTGTGTGGGAAGGGGCTGATCTGGTCCAAGCTTCAGGATCCCCAAGGCCCCCTCTTTGAATTTTGTTCCTGCTGAAAAAATATAGCTACAACTCTTACACATGCCCGGATGGGGGTGTAAAACTGTATTATCATTTTTGGAAAACTGTTTCGCAGTTTCTAATATTTCTAAATATTTCCCGTAAGAGTAATATAAGTTGTATGTACACACGAAGCACCTTTATTCATAATATTCCAGAACTAGAAACCACACAAATGTCCAGCAACAGGACATCTGTGGTATATTCACAAATTAGAAGGCTCCTCAGCCTTTAAAAGGAACGAACTACACAACAAATGGGCGTGTCTCGAAAACAGTCATGGAGCCAAAGAAGTACGAACAGTACTTACTTTATGATTTTCTTTGCAAGAGACTGGAGAACAGGCAATACCAACCTATGGTGAAGAGAAGAGTGGTTGCCTCTGGCCTGAGGATGGGAGGGCTGTCTGTTAGAGGATATGACTGAACATTCTGGGGTGACGGAAATGTTCTAATTTTTGATTGGGGTGGTGATTACAAGGGTCCACACAGTTATGACAAATTCTTGAAACTGTACACTTAAGGTATATTATGAGCCTTCTATTCAATGTAAAGTGGGCATCGATTGAGCTGTGTATGTACATAAGTATAAATGAAAATAAATACACACACACTTAAATTTCTAATGTAACTCAAGGGCCTGTTAGAAGGAGCCTCAGCCCAATGAATTTCACATTTTCTCTCCACCTTTTAAACACGTGGACTTCGTGCTTTCCAAGTGTAGGCGCAGCGCTCGGGGTGATGCTCCCAGCGGGAACCTCACGCGCGTCTTCCCCTCCAGCCCGTCGGTTTCCCATCACTGACACAGGGCCCAGGCGGTCACCCTCCCGGACGCCAGGGAGAGCCGCGGGACAGGTTCACGCGGAGGGGAACTCCTCTCCCCCGCGCGCCCCCGCGCCCGCCGCGGCTCGCAGCCCGCGGGGCATGAATCA